AAGTGTTCCTCCACCTCTTCCTCACAACATCTGACTACCAGCATAATCGGTGACTGCTCCATTTTCATTTTTTTGTTATGGTACAGTACGGTTATTTTATGCTGCGGAATGAATTATATGTTTTAAGATGTATTTCTATGGGAAAATGCGTTTCGTATAACGGACTTTTCACTTAACGGACATGCACCTGGAATGGATTAAGTACGTTATACGAGGCACCACTGTATCTAGAAAGCTGAATAACAAAAAAGAAAAAAAATAGGACTCAGTCTGTGATATACAGTTTAGAATAGAGAAAAGAAAAGGCAAACTTTTTACAAATTAAAAAAGTAATCACAAACAAGTGGTATCTCAAGAAAGTTGAAAATTAAAATTATTGGAAATTTGAATTGGAGTAAGGAGTTAGTTATGAAATGACTTTGAACAAGAGGGAAATAAATGTGGTTTAAGCATTTGAAATGTCATGCTTCAGATGGTTAGGGAAAATAAGTTATATAGACTAAGTAATGAATGATAAGTGCTAGAAAGAATATGAGAAAAGAGAAAGTTTTTACAATAATAGACAGTGAAAAGAAAGAAAAATTTTTGAGAACATGTATTGAGGATCTTAGGAGCTATTATTAAAATGGCTATAAGGAAAAAAGTTGAATAAGAAAAGAATGGTTTGACAACATAAAGCAGTTGACAGGAATCAGGTTGGAAATTAAATTAGACAGATATATACAGAAGAAAACAACTGAATATGTTCAGTCTTTTATATAGAAAATGCAACTTAGGGACAGACAGAAAGATTATAATAATATATATGTGACGGTCCAAAACTCTTTTGTTTTAGAACAGTATCACTTTTCTAATAAACTTCATGATTAGGTAAAAAGGGAAAAAGAGGGACTTCTGCGGTCAATGACCGAGATGATCTCCTCGAAAAAAATCGTTAGTATATCAATTAAAGAAATCTCCTCCATTTGTTTAAAGGTAATTCTATAGACGTTAATATCAACAAGACGGGAATAAGAGATGTTTTTACCCCCTCTTTGGTTGCACGTGACACGTGGTTACGGCAATAAATCGCCTCCTTCGTAGCCAAACGCGACGTTTAATATAAACAATATCTAGATAGTTGACCAGGTTAAAGAAATTATTGTCAGATGAATATTAATTTATGGATGAGAGCCGTCAAACCTATAGAAATTTATATTATAAAATCATATCTTCTAGACACTGATAGCAATAAATTAAACAAACTTCTCTATGTCAATTGTCAGTACAAGCTAGGTCTAGACATCAACACACGAACAGGTGTGCGTATAAATCATGAATGATGTCATAGTTCTCACCCCCTCAAAAATAGTATAAAGAGGGTTTGGACGCAGTCCACAAGGCGGACATTCACAAGGCGGACCTCGACTGCCACATCTACTGACCAATACCGCCATACTGCCATGACGATCCAGGAACGTTTTTACCAACGACCCATATTACGGATCGGGAACTTAGAGGTATTTGTTTTTGGATATCTATTTGTATACTCTCTCTCTGCGAATTCTCTCTCTGAGAAATCTCTCTTCTAGAGATCTCTCTGTCATCTCTTAACTTAGAGAATAGAGATTAGATGTTTCATAAGAAAGAATCATTGTCGCGATATAGAATAGAATTTTTGTAGATCTTCACCTTAGCCTTTGATATGTACTATTTTATAGTTGTTTATTAAATGTGTTATTCTTGTTCAACCTGTGTATTCATTTGGGAACCTGTCAACTTACTCACTGACCTCCCCACTCAATTTCATTTCGCCCTCCTATAAAGCCATCCTCTGACAGAGCCGCCGGTAAGTGGGGACAACTAACCCCCTCGGTTCTCACATATATAAACATCCCAAGAATCTGATGTATTAATAATTATCCAACCGTCAGCCAAATTAATCAGGCAGAAATTATGCTACAGATATTAAATAGAAATAACATGATTAGAACAATTAGAGGTAGACATTACGAACTATCTTTAAATGAAAGTAGTAACTATAATTTAAATTTAGAATAGTCTAGAAGAAAAGAATTGGCCCAGAGTGGGAGTCAAACCCACAACCTCCACTTACCATGAGGTTTGCTGACCAGTTACACCACCTGGATTTCCAAGCAATTCCTCCCTTCTAGATATATTTAAACTTTAGATATAACCATCCATTGGTTACCTATGGTACTGACTGGGGATGTATTCAATGCCCATTGGCCTACTCCAATATGGCACTCAGTCAGTTATCACTTTACCTGGCGTGTTATATATATGAATACCCCAAGAACCTGATGTATTAATAATCATCCAATCGTCAGCCAAATTAATCAGGCAGATTTTATGCAAACAACATGTGAAGTAAGTGTTAAAATAAGATTCTAAACAAAGAATGTAATATCACATTAGCAGTAATGTGTTAAATTTTACAACTATCATAATTAAACTATATATCTATATTGGAAATCATCCTTGGCACAAAAATAGCAAATTTATCAACACCTTATTTGCTGAGAAAAACATATCTATGTTAATAAAGATGGTTGTTAAAGCCTCATTAATTAAAACTTCTGCACATATATAAAGTGATTACAAATAACTCAAGAAAAACTTCCCAAAAAAAGATAGTGTTACCTACCTAAAGAATGGAAAGAAAGAAGGAATTCACTTTAATCAATAAAGTTTTTTATGAAAGAAGCTTAGACAGTTTATAGAAAAATTGCTTTTCAAATGGGTGTATTAGTATCCAAGTTTTATCAACTTTTCAACATATAATCTAATTGATACCAATCAATCTTTTTTATTCATTACTAAAATCATAGTAATTTACATAAAATTTGACATGCTTACAGATATTTAATATGAATACATGAAATTATTATTTATAATTTTGATATTTTTGAGGAATGCACCAACATGATTATACAAAATTAGTTAACAAACTTAGAAATATAAAACTTAGTGCTAATAGTTTCATACTGTACTATAACAACAAAAAGCAATTTACCAAACAGAAATGTTGAGATAATTATTGAGATTTTTAAAAAATCCCTAAAATTTAAGATAAAAATATAAAGACTAATAAAAAAGTTAATTTAGTTTAACGTCCAGTCCCGAGTTAACTCAGGCATGTTACATAGCATTACAAAAAATGCGGTCCTTTCGGCCCCCCAATTTTTTTTTTTTGATTTTTGGAATGTTTTTTAAGTCTCCAAATTTTTTCAAAAATTTTTACCCGCGCAAAAAATTTTATTGCGATTTTAATTAGCCTTTGATAAGGCTCAATTCAGGCTTAATTGTTTTATAATGGGATTTTTTTATCAAAATTAATTAATCGTTCTAAAGTTGTAGTGCACGGATTTGACTTCGGTAAAGTTATTTAAAGCTACTTTCTGATGTCAAAAACGACCTCCGATAGTTTTTTAATTTTTTTAATTAATAGATTTTATTATATATAAATTTAATTAATTAGGGGGTTGGAAATCGCAATAAAATTTTCCCTAATTAATATTCACCCTACTTTAAACCCTTGTCCTCCCGAGACGTCTATGAGAATGCCCCGGGAAATCCGACTCCAGCTGTTCTCAAGGTCATCCAGCTGTGTAAACAATGACTCATCAGTGTCAAATTTCACAGAAAGGCGAGACAAAGGAAAATAAAATTTGAAGCTTTTCTTCAAAATTAACGCATTTCTTTCGTTTTTTTTTCAGTTTTAAGTATTTTTTATGCTTAATTACATTATAATTAATAACAGGTGGGCGTTAAGAGGTTAAATACATAAAATAAAATTTTTATCCTCCTTCAAAAAAGTAAGAAAAAAATTAGAAATTAGTACATCAGATTTGTAATTATTATCAATGCTTATGAATATTATCTAAATATATAAAATTACTTGACCTGACTGATTGACTGAGTGATTGATTCATCATTGCCCAGAGCAAACCACTGAACCTAAAGAAGTGAAATTTGGTACACAGTTAGGGTATGCCATGAAAATGCACACTAAGAAGGGATTTTTCAAAATTTCCCTGCGGAGGGAAAGCGAGAGGATTAAGGCGTAACCTGAAAAACGGCTTCTACTGTGCTATTTTAGATGCGATTTTTTGTTTTCAACTATGTTTAGTCTTCATTAAGTACTTAGGTGTATTAAATTGATAATATTTCAGGCATTGTTATAAATATTTCTATATATTTCAATTTTTTAACCAAATGTTCAAACCATTTTAAATCTGAATTTGTTATTGCATATTGGTTCAATTATAGAACGATTGTAAATGTTCCAGAAAATTGATCAAATTGAAAACAGTTCATTTGATTCTTAGCAATTCTCATCATTCTCAGCAGTAGGTGTTATACTATAACAATTATTGTGGTTGTTGAAATACTGAATATAAATAGTGTTTGCTTGCAAAATCTGTACGGGCGAAGTCATGAGTAACAGCTAGTTCATCAATAAAGTTCTATAGTGTTTTAATTAGTTAAAAACATGAACCTCTAAAATTTTTGAATGTGGATCAAATTTAATACATAACAATATTAAACATGAATAATGAGATCACTTATTGCTATACCCTACAATAATTAATCTGTTTTATTTATGTTAACTCGATTTTATTGTTTTTATATATCCTTTTTATATTTAATAAGTGATATATGGAAATATATGATTAATCATTTATGTTTGGAGATCCATATCTTCAAATGTCAATAATTTATACTTCTATAGACCAGATGGTATAGGATTAAAAAAATTGATGAAAATAATAAGTTCTTTTGATTTAATTAATATATATCTAATTTTTTAAAATTTATTTTAAAGGACAACAAAAACCAATCTTTAGAAGTTATAGCTACAAAAAGATGCTATGATGGACAAGAAACTTCATGTAAATATGTATAATTAATATGTTGTATTATTGATTTTGTTTATAAAAATACTGAATAGTTTATTACTACTTTTAGTTCATATTTTCTTATCAAAATTTAATCAGTGGAGAAAGATTGCATTAATAATTGTTAATCATAAAGCTTTTGAATGGATCATTCTTTTATTTATTTTTGCTAGTAGTGGCTTATTGGTAAGTATATAATAATTTTTCCACAAATTAAAAATATAATCTATGCAACTTAATCATTTTTAAATGTAATATTTTCTAGTGTTTTGAAGATATTTATCTTCCTCAAAGACCAACATGGCAATTGGCTATATCATATTTAAATTATATTTTCACTGGAATATTTGTTCTGGAAATGCTATTAAAGTGGACAGCATTTGGATTTATTAAATATTTTACTAATTTTTGGACAATAATGGATTTTATTATAGTATTAGTAAGTTTATAATAAATATTCTATCATAATTTAATAATTTCTTAAACATTCTATTTTGCCTTTGTATACACATTTTTCTTATATATAAATGAATAAAAGTATATTATTGTTAATCTGTTTAATTCTGCCATTTCATGAGAAAAATTTGAATGTGGAAGTTTAAATTATGTTCTAATTAAAAGTCTGTAAATATAAAACAACATAGATATATTTAGAAATTTTCATTAAGTAAATGCATTTTATGAGGAAGCTAAAGCAATACAATGGCATATCACAAGTTAACATATATGCATATCCTACACTATTTTATATGTATATACAGTGCTATTTTTCTTCAAAAAAACTAAGAGGTAGCTCTCACCTCAATAACTCACTAGTTTTAAGATTCTCAGCAGAAAAGAATAAAAAATTAGATAAACAAAATTTATTTGTATTAAATTAATTTGTGAAACTTGTTTAAAAATAAGAATAAAGAAATTTAGACAATTAAATTGTGATGGCAGACTTTTTCATTAAATGTATATGGAAATTTTTCAAAGAATAAGCTCTGCTGAGACTAATAATCTAAGTTTCATCTTATGTAGTCTGTTTTAATCAGGAGATAAAGATCAATGCATTCAAAACACTTTAATCACACTTGTTGTGGCAGCAATGCATTTCGGAATTGAAAAAAAAATCATCCCCTCTTCAGGCTACATTGTATACAGCTGACATTAACAATTAAAAAGCAAAAATTAAGATATAAAACACTGACTTGAAACAATTCAAAATCCATTTTCTACAAAACACAGTTAACATTTTCCTGCGATGCAATAAGTGTTTTTTATACATTATATACCAAATTTTGTGTAAGAAAATTTTGTCACAGACTGATTACAAAACAGAATTTTTCAGCTTTTTCAGTTAGTGTATGGTTTTTATGTTTGAGTTTTATACATACCTATGAAATTTTTATTTTTATGTTAATTTTTATAGTTTTTTTATATGAAAAAATCTTGGAAGGAATGTATAAAAAGCACTTATTGCCTTGCATGGAAATGTTAACTGTGTTTTTAGAAAATGGATTTTAAATTGTTTCAGGTCAGTGTTTTATATCTTAATTTTTGCTCTTTAATTGTTTATGTTAATTTTGGCTGTATACTTTATAGCCTGAAGAGGGGATGATTTTTTTCAATCCCGAAATGCATTGCTGCTATAATAAGTGTGATTAAAGTGTTTTGAATGCATTGATCTATGTCTCCTGATTAAAACAGACTACATAAGATGAAACTTAGATTATTAGTCTCAGCAGAGGTTATTCTTTGAAAAATTTCTACATACTGTACATATATAAATAATTACTCAAAACATATATTGTAGTTCACTTTTATATTCATATGATATTATCTGGTTTATTGATTTCATGAGATTTCTCACTGAAATGTTATTCCCAAGCAATTAGAGAGTGATAGTAATTTATTTTTGTTGTTGTCTATACAAGTACTCATTTTATTACAATGTTAATATTTGCTACTATTGAGAATGCAATTATCTGTATGCAAACAGAAATGGCATCAGCAAGCAAGGGTGGATCTAATTTTTTTGGGGCCTAGGGCTTATTGAAGTCCAATAGGTCCCATTTTTTGTTAATACAAATAATACTATAAATTATCATTATTATTATATTATTAATATTAACTACTTTTTACTATATGACAAGTGCTCGTTGGTAATGAAAAAGTATTAAAAATTTATGATGATGATTCAATTTTTGTGGTCCCTTGACACTTGGGGATCCAGGGCTTAAGCCCTATTAGTCCTTATGTAGATCTGCCAAAAGCAAGTAATCCAAATAAGGAGCTTATTTTCTAACTTTTTTCTGTCCTGTGGGTACTAAGAAGTGCCATTTTAATCAGCTTGGGTTCAGCCTGACCTACAATGGAGACAACCAGGTAGTATGAGAGACAATAACAGACATATCTTGCACAAGTCACTCATGAAAAATTCCTAGGGTTTCTTAGATGGATTGATGTAGGTCTTCCAAAGCAGCAGACTGACACCTTTACTGTTTCAGTCATTTAGACAACAAATAACATGCTATAACAGTAGAGATGATAACTGATATATCAGAATTGGTATAAACCAATCCTATCTTTTTTCAATACACATTCTTCACATTGTTTTACCATGACAGGCATTTGAACACAGTTAAGGATTGCATTACAGTAGAGCGTCGTTTATCCGAAAGTCAGTTATCCAAAACATCAGTTATACAAAAGAATTCCAGTCAGCAAATTTAAATTTTTGCTAGTGCTGTGGCGCTGCAATCTTTGTCTATATCTTGGGCTACTCCAATATTTTTTTGATTGATGTGTGTGTTTTAGCTGGCAGCACTGGTAATTTTGTGTGTCATGCTGAATCAAACATTTTTGATACTAGATTAACTTCTAAAGTATAATTTTTTTTGTTTTTATATTTTTCAATATATTTATTTTGTTTGTAAAAAATAAAGAAATAATTTTTAACGATACAATAGCCACGATTATTATTTTAAAAAGTTTACATTAGGCTTAACATCGACNCAAACGATTCTTGATTCGAACTTTCTCCGTAATTTTCTCGATGGATCGATCATCCGCTGTCCTTTTCCTCTCCAAAATGAATCCTGTCCCAGATGCCCGTCTGCTCACTTCCTCGTCTACTTCGAGAGTGACCCTTTTCTCTCCCTCTCTGCCTCAGGGCCAATCCTCCCTCTCTGGCCTCGTTCTCGTCGATGTCCCCCCCCAACAAACAGGAAGTGAAGAGTGGAAAGACAAAGAAGTGAGAAGACAAAGAACACAAGAAAGAATTGTTATTACTAGACTTATGACTATCGCGTATACAATAATATGGCATTATGCCACATACGTTCCCCCGACAAAAGTGTTAATTGCCACTGTGCAATCTTCGATAATTCACCTTATTTCCGCGTAAATAATAATCGTGACGGGGCTTAGGAGAAACGTGGACTGCATCATTTATATCCGGCGAATCGTCTATACACTGGACCGTTTCCTGACGTTGTGGTAGTTGATCTTGTTCTAGCCTTGAGGGTCCATTCGGGGGTTGAAAAATAATTGGCATTTCATCTTCATCCTCATCGGAATGTGCGGTTTCTCTAGCACCCAAACTTCTTCGCGTCCTCCCATTATGCCTTGTCCCGACAGTCACGGGTACTTGATACGTTTTTAACCGGTCGACGTGAACAGTCATACGGTTATTGCTGGAATTATTCTCAATCTCCACCGTCACGGGACCTAGGATACGGGATATGCGAAAAGGACCGAGATACTTGGAGGAGAATTTTCCGTAACGTCTCCCTTTGTTCTTTCGCAAAAGCCAGACACGTTGACCTACCTCCCAATCCCGGTCTTTCCTCCCTTGGTTAATGCGGTCTCGGCCCCTTTTATTCTTATCTCTTCCGCTTTCGTATGCCATTTCGCAAATACATTTTAGTCTTTTCTTCCACTCCCAAAATGATTCGTTGACGATTTCACCCTCTATGTCATTTGGGAATGTCCATGGGAGGCGGGGGTCATATCCGTACAACAGGAAAGCGGGCGTTTCACCTGTCGATGAGTGTGTGGCATTATTGTAAGCGAACACAGCGGGGGGCACGAACGTATCCCAATCCTTGTTATTACCTCGCGATATGCGGGATATGATTTTTACGATAGTTTTGTTTAAGCGCTCACATACCGAATTTGCGCAAGGGCGGTATGCAGTGGTCAGATTATGTTGTATGGACAGGGACTCGCAGACCTCGTGAAATAACTGAGAAGTAAAGTTGCCCCCCCTGTCTGAAACAATGACTTCTGGACAACCGTAACAACAAATCACACGATCAAAGAGGACATCAGTAATGGTTTGGGCCGATTGATCATGTATGGGACAAATTTCGGCAAACCTAGTATAGAGATCAATGATAGACATAAGATAACGATGCCCTCTAGGCGTAGTATTGAGAGGACCAATAATATCCACAGCAATCTTTTGGAACGGGAAGTTTGCCGTTTCGGTTTCCTTGAAAGGAGCACGGATGCGATGAACGTTATGCTGTTGGCATATGGTGCAAGATTTAATGTAAATTTTTACATGGGCAGACAGGTTCCTAATGTGGTAGTTCCGATCAATGAGGTTACAAGTCTTTTCAATACCTAGGTGACCAGCCAAATTGGAAGCATGGAACGCACCTATAACTTCGTTGATCATGCTCTTCCCTACGCACGGGCGTTTCCAATGGCGCAAACCATAAGGTCCCGGCTTAACGTTGACGAGTATACCCCCTTCTAACTGGTACTCAGGTTGGATATCGGTGTTCAGAGTTAGATTATTAGTACTATGATTCGTCATATGTGCCTTCATTTTGTTGAGGAACTCGTCACCTTCCTGCGACTCGATAATCCGATTCCAAAAGTCATCACTCACTCTATTCATGTCATATCTTACAATCCTCCCAGAATTTTCATCATTGATAGGGCGTGAAAGTAAATCGGCAACTGGGTTGTGTTTCCCTTTCACGTGATGGACTTTTATATCATAATCCGTTAACTCCATGGACCAGCGCATAAGGCGTTTATTGTGGTTATGCATGTTGCTGACGTATATTAAGGGCTTGTGGTCGGAATACACACTTATGGTATGACCTAGGACGAGGGGTCTGAAGTGGCGTAGCGCCATTATAATTGACAAACACTCTTTCTCCACTGTAGCATAGTTCATTTCGGCCCCCCGGAATTTCCTGCTAAAATAACCAACAGGGACGAGACCCCCGTCTCTCAGTTGACCTAACACAGCCCCTGCACTATTGTCCGAGGCATCAGTGTACAGGCAGAACGGGTTGTTGAAATCAGGGTGAGCCAGTAGGGGAGGGTTTGTGAGGATAGTTTTGAATCTTTCAAACGATGCTTGACATTCCTCACTCCAGTTAAAACCTCTTCCCTTTTTTGTTAACTCAATCAAAGGGAGGGCTAATTCGGCAA